CCCGGGCCTGGGCCCCGCCGCCGCGCTCGGCTATCACGTGCAGCTCGGGCCGCTGCAGGGTGGCGCGGTGCATCGTGTGGAGGTCCCCGCGGGCCGCAACAGCACCACACTGCAGGGCCTGGCACCCGCCACAGACTACTTGGTGACCGTGACGGCAGTCCTCCGCTCAGGCCGCGAGAAGGCGCTGTCGGCCAAAGCCTGCACGCCAGATGGGGAGCGCAGCCGCGCACCGCGTCCTCGGCCTCCTGACGCCGGCGGCCGGGGGCCATGAGCAAGCCGTCCTGGGGTAGTCGAGAGGGGCTCAGAGCTGCCGACCTGAGGGCCCTCTAGTCCCGAACCCGGTGGGGAAGGCGCGCCCGCCGCTGAAGCCAAGGTTTTACCCTGGGGGTTGGGGTGCCAGCCCTGCCTTTCCCCCGCAGGGACTGGTTTCTCCTCGCCCTCTCAGGTTTCTCCTCACCCTCTCCCCGCTGCTGCGGGCTCCCTGGCCTGACACCTGCCTTCCATGATGCCGGCATTACCCGACTCCTTGCTGGACACCAGTGGCAGCCCTGGCAGCGGTGCGTGGGAAGGGAACCCCTTGCCTTTCCTTGACCTGGCACATACCAGTTCTTTTGGAAGGATCCAGCAGGCGGCAGGGAGGAGAGTGTTGAGGACCTCCAGTGGCCTGCCCTCCCACTGTGTGAAAGGCCCAAAGTCTGTAAGGGTTGGTGGGAGTTTGGCCCAGCAAGCTGTTCTGCATCCCTGCATCCCCACTGCCACTCAGGTCCTGGATGTTGGTAGAAATCTGCTGGGAGAAGGGGAGAAGCTGTTCGGGCTTCCTGAAGAAAAGAAAGGCCAGAGAGGAGTACCGATAGGCCGATGGTATCTTCCCCAGGGTGCTCTACCAGCCTGGAGGGCAGTGCCTGCTGGGGACGGTCGCCTTCCTGCCTAGGACCTCAGCAGGGCCCAGCTTGCAGCCAGTGGGATACAGAGGGCACGTTTTGGGTACAAGGCTAGTACCTGGTATTCAGGACCTTGGGCTTCAGGGCCAGCAGGAGCCTCCCTGGGGTAGCGGGAACAAACGAGGTTTCTAGGGTGGGCTTACCCAGCAATTCTCTGTAGCATCTTCTGACCCCAAAGGGTCATGCTCATGGGCTACTTCCTGTCACTATTCACTAACAGACAAGTTGCCAAGGGCAGGGAGCACCTGTGGCCACCCCGCAGTCCTCATCGGGCATGTCTCCATCTCCCAGATTGCCTGTATCTATCTTCTCCACGCTCATGTTGCTTTTCTCCACTAACATCCCAGATTTAAATACAGTAAATCAGATGTAAACTGAACCTGCAGTCCCGTTAGAATGCTTTACTACTTATTAGAACAGCCAGCTGTGGAGGGCGCTTGTAAAAGGTCCACTATAGGACCAGTGGTGAGTCTGGCCAGGGTATAAGGAGGTGTCTCCTCCCAGCTCGGGGACATGAATCACTGGGCCTCCTGCAACCCCTTCACGCATCTTCTCTCCAGAGAGTCTGGGGCCCATTCTTGTGGGCTGGGACTCTGCAGTTTGGATTGGGAAAAGTGGCTGGAACAGAGGACAGCACCAGTTCTGCAGGGCTATCCCCACCACAACCTTCAGCCCATCACCCACCCCAGCAGGCGCCCTCTGCTGGCAGAGTGACACCCTCCCCTGCAGTTACTCCGCTATGCTTGTGAATGGGAAACGGCTGCTGAGCCCAAGGAACTCAGAGTTAAGAGTTGTTCTCAGTCCACCCACTTGGGCATATACAGAAGCAATCTAATGGGAACTGGTCTGCCATGGTTTCTCAAGAACTCAGCTTTCAGCTGACCCCCCCCCCCGGGCACCCATGGCTGCTGTGCCCACTTGCCTGAGTACTGAAAACTCAGAGGGCCAGCTGTGCTTGTACTCGCAGCCTAGTTTGGCTGGTGTGAGACATGGCCCAAGACTGCCCCGTCTATGTGAGCAGAAGGCGTGTGGTGAGCCCACTGCTGTGGGGCAACTTGATTTCTTCTTATACTATCCCCAACCCTCAAGTCAGGCCCAGAGAAGTGTAAGTGGGACCAGTGGCCTGCATGTGCTGCTGCAGGTGGAATGCTCACACCCTCATCACTGGTCGGGAGGTGGCCAGGGGACTCAGAGACTCCTAAGACCTCGTCCAGAGACCACCTAGTCCACAGGCCAAGACATGGACCCCCTTTGTCTTGAGAGGCTGGATTCCCTCTGTGCAACTCACATCCCCTGTGCTATTCTCCTGGGTGGCCACAGGTCTGAGTCCATTAGCCACATGAAGAGGCCTCGGGCCCAGCTCACAGAGCACCATCATGGCCACAGCAGAACACCATAGGGTCATGTCCTAATGGTTATGGGGCTTCTGTAGATGGCTCAAGCTCACACAACTCCTTCCCCAGAACACACCCATGATGCGGAGAAGGCAGAGGCTCCAGCTTCACCTTGTCTCTGCTCAACTCTGGACACCCACCGAGGCCCATTGTCAGCTATTCACTGGTGGTGGGAGGTGAGAGGAAACCCCACTTTCATCTCCTTGCCAAGGAATGCCTTTTCCGGAAGCCATTTTCTTAGAAGTGCTGCCCCTTGCATTGTCCCAAGCAAATTTTAAGTCTTTGACTCTGAGCCATGTCTTAGAAAAGCACTGGCCCTGGGAACAGTCTACAGGGAACAGTTTGTCCCGGTCTCCTGTGAGCTGGCTGCCCCTCCTCCTCCCCTGACACACTCCTGATCCCAACTTCTTGGTCACCCTGGGTCCAGGATGCTGAACAGAGGCTAGTGCCCAAAAGGACTTACACAAATGCAAAGGTCCCAGGCCACCATGAGCTATTTTTGTTTGCTGTGGGGCGGGTGCACTTGCTGGAGACAGAAAAGAGAGAGGCCAAGTGAAAAATCATCCCCCAAGGGGGATGGCCCCACTGCAATCCCTTCTCCATTTTCCTCTTGAGATTTTGGGTACACGTGTACGTGCCCAGGGTAATTTTCTTTATTTAGAATTATTTATTTGGGGGGTTGTCAGGTGGCATGGTGGTTAAGATGCTGGATTTCCAAATGGCTGACCATGGTTTGGGTCCCAACCTGGTGGCTTGCTTGCTCTCTCTGTCTCTGTCTCTGTGTCTCTCCCTGGTCAAACTGAAGAATAATAAAAATAAATAAAATAAATAATTCTAAAAAAATTATTTATTTTATTTTATTTATTTTTATTATTTGGGACCAGCAGATAGTGTAATAGTTACGTTGCTGCACTCCCACAGTCAACCACAGTTCAAATCTCAAACAGATGGTTTGAAACTTATGTCGGGAGTGTGTGCTTGGTGCCCAAGATCCTGTAAGGAAAATGGAAGAGAAGGGATTGTGGCAGTGGCAGACACACTGGGGGATGATTTCTCACTTTCTGTTTGTCTCTCTGTCTCTCTGGTGAGTGCACATGCCCTCTAGCAAAAAGCTCTCTTTCTAAAAAAAGAGATTTATTTAATTTTATTATTTTTTTTTGATTTGCTATAGGGCATTTGTGCTCACCTGAGAGAGAGAGAGAAAGTGAGAAAGCAAGTTGCCAACTCTGAGATTTGAACCATGGTTGGACGTATGGGAGTCCAGTACCCTAACCACCACGCCACCTTTTTTTTTTTTTTTTAACATTTCTTCTAACTCTTTTTTTTTTTTTTAAATTGTCTATTTATTTGTAATGATTTTGGGGTCACTGGGTCCAGGAACTTAAACTGCGGTTGGCTGTGTCAACCACCAGTGTCAGCCTCCAGTGTCAACCACCACACCACCTGCTGGCCCCACCCAGCATGATTTTTCAAGCCACTGAGTCTGGGACTCGAACCATATAGTCAGCCATGTAGAATCCAGCCACCTTAAACTCTACGCCACATGCTGGCCTGAGCTTTTTTTTTTTTCTTTTTTTGGAGAGATTTTCTTTTTTCATTTTTTGGAGAGGTTTTTCCGCTATAGGGAGCGTGCGCTCGCCAGACAGACAGAGAGAGACATAGAGACAGAAAGCGAGAAATCACCCCCCAGGGGGGATGGTCACGCCGTAATCCCTTCTCCTCCATTCTCCTCTTGGGATCTTGGGCATGCACGCACACGCGCCCGGCGTGAGTTTTAAGCCACCGGGTCCAGGACACGAACCACGGT